AAGATGGGACTCCAATCGGGTTCCCGATTTGGGAGTTAGAGTCGGATTTCACTATAGGCAAACTAATTCCTTAAGAAACTTGAAATCGAGGTGTCAACGCCCCAAAATCACCAAACAGCGTCGGTTTAACACGAAGCTTGGCACACACGACCACCTAGGCACAAGAGACTTGTGGGAGAAGACGGGACTCCAATCGGGTTCCCGATTTGAGAGTTAGAGCTGAATTTCACTCTAGGCAAACTAGTTCCTTAAGAAACTTGAATTCGAGGTGTTCACGCCCAAAAATCACCAAACGGTATCGGAATAGCATGAAACTTGGCACATGCGACCACCTAGACACGAGAGAGTTGTGGGAGAAGATGGGACTCGAATCGAGTTCCCGGTTTGGGAGTTAGAGCCGGATTTCACTCTAGGCAAACTAATTCCTTAAGAAACTTGAATTCGAGGTGTTGACGCCCCAAAATCAAGAAACGGCGTCGGTTTAGTATGAAACCTGGCACACACGACCGCCTAGGCACAAGAGAGTTATGAAGAAGATGGGACTCCAATCGGGTTCCCGATTTGAGAGTTAAAGCCGAATTTCACTCTAGGCAAACTAGTTCTTTAAGAAACTTGAATTTGAGGTGTTGACACCCCAAAATCACCAAACGGCGTTGAATTAGCACGAAACTTGGCACACGCGACTGCCTAGGCACGAGAGACTTTTGGGAGAAGACGAGACTCGAATCGGGTTCCCGGCTTGGAAGTTAGAGCCGGATTTCACTCTAGGCAAACTAATTCCTTAAGAAACTTGAATTCGAGGTGTTGGCGCCCCAAAATCACCAAACGACGTCAGTTTAGGACGAAACCTGACACACATGACCGCCTAGGCACGAGAGAGTTGTGGGAGAAGATGGGACTCCAATCGGGTTCCCGATTTGAAAGTTAGAGCCGAATTTTACTCTAGGCAAACTAGTACCTTAAAAAACTTGAATTCGAGGTGTTGAAGCCCCAAAATCACCAAACGGCGTCAGATTAGCACAAAACTTGGCACACATGACCGCCTAGGCACTAGAGACTTGTGGGAGAAGACGGGACTCGAATCGGGTTCCCGGTTTAGGAGTTAGAGCCGAATTTCGGTCTAGGAAAACTAGTTCCTTAAAAAATTTGAATTCAAGGTTTTAACGCTCCAAAATCACCAAACGGCGTCGGTTGCACACACGACCGCCTAGGCACGAGAGACTTGTGGGAGAAGACGAGACTCCAATCAGGTTCCTGGTTTGGGAGTTAGAGCGGATTTCTGTCCAGCCAAAATTATTTACTTAATTATTTTTGTAATTATATAGTAGTTAAAATTTTTTGGACAAATTACATATACCCCCTCGAGGTTTAGCAAAATTATAGATACCCCCTGAGGTTTGATAAATTACAGATACCCCCCTGAAGGTTATATTTGCATAACAAATTATGGGGTAAATTGTTATGAAAATATAAACCTTAGGGGGCATTTTGTTATGAAAATATAAACCTCAGGGGGGTATATGTAATTTTTGAAACCTCAGGAGGGTATCTATAATTTAGCTAAACCTCGAGGGAGGTATATGTAATTTGCCCTTAATTTTTTTATGTTTTTTTGTAATTAAAATATTAACACATAATTATATTGTCATTAATTATTTTTATTTTTTGTTTACAGATATTTCCTGAGTAGCAGTTTGCTTCTTGTGAAATGTAGGCATGTGAAGATTGCGAGTAACTTTTGTTTTTGTTACCCACGGAAGAATTATGAGGAAAACTTTTGCTTTTGATTTACGTTATTTTGAATTGTGAACAACATTATGTATTTAAACATTGTATATGTATTATGCAACATTATATAGTGGGATAACTTTGTTATGTGTTGTTATGAATGGAAGAATATTTTTATTATGAATGAATTGTTATTTTTATACTGAAATTTTTATGTTATTATATAATTATCGGTTTCTTTTTCAATTATTTTTCATTTAATGCAAGTAATTTTCATATTTTTAATATTTTTATTGCAAAATTTTTTTTTTTAGACGGCAATACACCGTCCTTAAGGGTGTAATTTTGGCCCGGCTTGGCCCATGTCGAGCCTTGTGGGTTCCCGCCAAAAAATCGACCCAGGCCGGGCCAACCCACGGGCCAAAAAACGAGGCACAGGCCCAAGCCCAGGGGTATTCGGGCTATGGGCGGGCTAGTGGTCCGGGCCTCAGGCGCCCTTGGGCTCGGGCTTTGGGCGTGGGCCTAAACAATTTTTTTTATTATTTTTTAAATTTTTTCTGCCAAAATTTTATTATTTTCCATTAAAAATAACACTGGGCCTCGGGTGGGGCAGGCCTCGGGGCGGGCTTTTGGGCAGGCCACGGACCGGGCTTCAAAACGATGGCCGAGGCCCTGGCCCAAGGCCTCGGGCTGGGCTTGGGCCTAAACGGGCCTTAACAGATCGGGCCCACCTCAGGCCGCGGGCGGGTTTAAGGCCGCCCACGGGCCGCAAGCCAAAATTACACCAAAAAACATAAGAACCCGATTTTTTTTTGCGACGTAAGCAATGCTATCGTAAAAGACATTGGCAATAGTTGAAACAAAAAACCTTTCGCGACGATATTCTTTGCCATCACAAATAATCTTTTAGCAACAGCATGTCGTGCTGTCTCAAATAACCTTTTAGCGACGGCAAGTACCCAGTCGCAATAAAAACACTTTCGCGATGACATTTTTGTCGTCGCAAATAACACTTTTAGCGACGGCAACATAATGCCGTCTCAAAAAATCTCAGATTTATACATATTAATGCCGACAACATAATTCCGTTGCAAAAAGGCAACTTTACCGTCGCAAAAAAAAAGGCGACGACACTTTGCCGTCGCTAAAAACTTTTAGCAGCACCCTTTGCTGTGACCCCTCCTTGTCGTCGCAAAAAAGTTTTTGAGACGGCATTTTGAGTATTTGCGACGGCATTTTGCCGTCACAAAAAATCGAAATTTTTGTAGTGATTGTTATAATTAGAAGTAAAAGGATCAAAGTGAAATTTTGGCAAAAATACAAAGATCCTAAGTATAATTTACCCTTTCATTTATTTCATAGCACAATTAAAGAACATATTTGTGATGACTTAGCGTGAGATTATTCAATAATGCTTTTGATGTTTGAGGCCTCACACGCTATAGTCGGTCACTTACTAATTGTTATGTGATGTAATAAATAATTTTTGTAATGCATTAAGTGTGATATCAGTGAGTAAGAAAAGTTTGTAAGATTTGTTAGTTTTTATAAGATTAGTATGCACACAAAACACACACATAATTCTGTGTGTGTGTGTTTGTGTGTGTGTGTGTGTGTGTGTGTGTGTGAGAGAGAGAGAGAGAGAGTGAGTCTGTGTTAACTTACAACTAATGTGGAAGGAGGAGCTGGTTTCTTAAGAATAGCTGGTTTGTTATGATGAGGTCCACTTCCGGGCTCCACTCACTACAACAAAAATTGGCTATAACCACGTTTTTTAGACAACATTTTTCTAAAAATCGCTGTGGAAGAGGTAAAGTAAGATTAAAAGACACGCGTTATCCTCTTGTGAACACGTGTTCCACAGCGGTATCCTCCATTTCTCTTTCCGTTCCATTTCTGTCTCTATCGTTTTCTTTCTCCTTCCTAGATCTAGGGTTTTCTATGTCTCCTCATGCTCCTTGTGAGATTCACCTAGGTTGATTCCGATTACTTGTTTAGATCTAACTCTAAATCCATCAATTCTTGCATCGATTTGGTTGAAATGTCTTGACGGTTTTTTGTTTTTCTTGATTCTAATTCTGATTTTGATGATTTTGCAAAGGAAGATGGTTCGGCTGAGTTGCACAAATCGGCAGGGTTACGAGACCGAGGAGTGAAGAAGGATCAAGATCCTCGGGAGAGTCCTTTTTGCCTCTGTTTTCATACTCTCTGCATGGTGAGAGTAAGGCTTTTTTTTTTTGTGCTTCTTCTTCTTCTTCTTCTTTTTCTTCTTCTTCTTCGCTCTGTTTTATCAGATCTACTATGTTCTAACTCTTCTCTTGTCATGTATGAGTGATTCATTTTATGTTCTTCATTGATATGGAGTTATTAGTAAGAAGATGTTAGGGTTTTGTTGCTGCTTTTAGTGAATTTTTTTGTTACAGTGCTTGTGGCCTTGGATCTGAAAAGTTTGAGATTTGCCTTGATTTTGTGGTAGATTTGGAACTAAATACTCTAGTACAAGCTAGATCTCGCTATTTTGGCTGAAAATTTGCTTTTTCTTCTAACTTGCAGTTTATTCGAAGTTTTTTTGCGTGACTAAGTAATTTTGTTACTGTTTTGGCCAACTGTTTCTAGCTAGTTCTCAGACTCTCCTTTGGTTTTTGGTTTTTGTTTTTGTATATTATGATTGGCTTAAAACAAAGACATACAAGAACATAAATTTGAATTTTAGTTATGCATAAATATTACTGCCACTGTCATAAACCCTTAATTAACTAATTTTCAAAAACTATTTTTCAAATATTATCTCTCTACACATCAGTAAAAGAAGATCACGTCTCTCTACCCTCCTAATCAAATTGTGAATATTTGAATTTGAATTGCATGAACTAGTGTCTTAATATATACATCATTGATTCTTTAGGAAACAAAAGCGTTAACACAGCTTTAGAAAGTCGGAAACACCAAAATGGGGTTCTCCCATTATATATAAATGATTTTACAATCTTTTGATCCAGATTTTGTGTTGTAGTGGTCATGCTTTCAATTAATGTTTGAAATATGGTTTGTAAAATATGGGTAGTCATGCATCAGTTAGTAATTTTGGCATCTGGTACAAGTGGGTGTTTATTTAATGCAAATTGTTATTTGTTATTAAGCCTTTGTTGCTTACTAATGCAACACGTAGAAGCATTACATCTTAATTTTTATTTTGTTTCTCATTTCAATCCCTACAGTGAATTGGAAACATGTGATCGCTTCAATTGTATGCTAGACTTTAATGGTTTCCCTGTTTTTCTACCTATCCACGGCGTTTGGGTCTGTCCAAATGCTTAGACTCTATGGTGTTCCCTACATGGTAAGTCAAACACATTCCATTCTCAAAGTGTTCCTAGAATTCCATCTGATAAAAAGAACGAATTTCAAATGCTCCAAATACTTCAATCCCATTTGATTCAATCTTGTCGCACATTTATCACAGATTTTTGTTATGTGGTTGGACACCATTACTTGCATCACCATGGCTAAGAACAAAAGCTTCCTTGGTACCACGGAAAGGTACTAGAAATTTTTTGTTCTCAGTTTGTCCAAATATGCTTAGTTTTAATCAATTCAAAAAAAAAAAAAAAAAAAAAAAAAAACCTTCCCCTATTCTTATGTTTCTCTCTAAAGGGGTTGTGTATTTAATGTTGCTATTTTAATTGGTTGCTATTGCTGTTAGAGATACTTTTACATGGGATTATTGCTTATTTTTTGCTTATGGGATTACTGCTTGTCCTTGCTATTGAATTTGGAGTTGCTGCTTTTTGTTTTTATTTATTTATTTATTTTTTGGTATTGAACATTTGGAATTATGTTATTGATGTGCCTGTTAGGAATCTTATGTTATTGATGTCCCTCTCTCACTCTATACATTCTTCTGTATCGGAAACCTGTTACGTAACTGTACGGGGAGCAAATATTCCGGCAAACCCGTACTCCTTTCTTCCGAGCTCCGTCGATGTCCGATCACCTGCGAGCAAGTAACGGTGAGCTACCCGGCGGTGTGTGGCCGGAAAAACCCTCCGACGATCAAGTTAGCACACACCTTAGGATGGATAGAGAGAGAAGGGAGAGAGTGTTTGAGTGTAAGAATCCCTTACAGAGATGTTCGTGTGTCCGCGTATGGGGGGCGCAGACATGCTTATATACCCGCTGCGCCCCATATCCACTCCCAGTCATCTCCTGACACGTGGCTCCGCTATCCCATCTGTCAGCATAAACCTTGCTGAACATCACCTAATCCAACTGCCCGCACATTCTCCTAGGAGCTCGGCAGCCGGGCAATTCCATCTCGGCCATCGTCTGCCATGCTGCGCTTCATGCCCAAGTACTCCAACAGCTAAGCTTAGATGAGGACCGGACTCGGCGGTATCTCGGCAAAGTCGAGCTCGGGACTACTTACGCTTGTCTGCGGTCGACCTACCTGCCGAGCAAACAAGTACCTCGGTCCAACCTTGCCTTTCCTAGTGCTGGACTTTTCACCTGACCAGCTTCGTAATCACGGATCCTTGCAGCTCGGTCAATCAACGCGCTGCCTTAACTGAGCAGCTTCCTTCAAGGCCGGGCCACACAACTTGGCCCAACACCTGTTCGGCCCAAATCTGTCTGGCACAACTCTGCCTGGCCCAAATCTGTCCGGCATAACTCTGTCTGGCCCAAATCTGTCCGGCACAACTCTGTCCGACCCAAATCTGTCCGGCACAACTCTGTCCGGCCCAAATCTGTCCGGCACAACTCTGTCCGACCCAAATCTGTCTGGCACAAAGTCCATATCATTAATCTCCCTCTCAATTGCCCCTTAATTCCGTCCGCTGAAGCGTGACTGGGATTACCTATCCTGACCGGGGTAATACTTCCTCGGTCCTCAATATGCAAGATGGTGACCGCACTAAGAAAGCGAGCAAGGTCCGCTCCACAATTTCCTTCTTGGCGAGTAACATCAGCTCGGTCAAGGAACTCCGAGGAAGGCGAGCAAGGTCCGCTCCGCGACTTCCTTCTTGGCGGACAAGATCAGCTCGGCCAAGGAACTCCAAAGAAGGCGAGCAAGGTCCGCTCCGCCTCTTCCTTCTTGGCGGACAAGATCAGCTCGGCCAAGGAACTCCAAAGAAGACGAGCTAGGTCCGCTCCGCGACTTCCTTCTTGGCAGACAAGATCAGCTCGGCCAAGGAACTCCAAAGAAGGCGAGCAAGGTCCGCTCCGGGACTTCTTTCTTGGCGGACAAGATTAGCTCGGCCAAGGAACTCCAAAGAAGGCGAGCAAGGTCCGCTCCGCCTCTTCCTTCTTGGCAGACAAGATCAGCTCGGCCAAGGAACTCCAAAGAAGGCGAGCTAGGTCTGCTCCGCGACTTCCTTCTTGGCGGACAAGTTCAGCTCGGCCAAGGAACTCCAAAGAAGGCGAGCGAGGTCCACTCCGCCTCTTCCTTCTTGGCGGACAAGATCAGCTCGGCCAAGGAACTCCAAAGAAGGGGAGCAAGGTCCGCTCCGCGACTTCCTTCTTGGCGGACAAGATCAGCTCGGCCTAGGAACTCCAAAAAAGGGGAGCAAGGTCCGCTCCGCGAATTCCTTCTTGTCGGACAAGATCAGATCGGCCACGGAACTCCAAAGAAGGCGAGCATGGTCCGCTCCGCCTCTTCCTTCTTGGCGGACAAGATCAGCTCGGCCAAGGAACTCCAAAGAAGGCGAGCTAGGTCTGCTCCGTGACTTCCTTCTTGGCGGACAAGATCAGCTCAGCCAAGGAACTCCAAAGAAGGCGAGCAACATTAGCTCGGCTGAAACTTCGGAGTTGAACAAATCATCAACCCGTCAGCTGGAGCAAATCATCTCGGCTGGAACCTCGGAGTTGAACAAATCATCAACTCGCCAGCCGGAGTAAAATATCTCGGCTAGAACCTCGCAGTCGAGCAAATCATCAACTCTTCAGCCGGAGTAAAACATCTCGGCTGGACCCTCGGAGTCGAGCAAATCATCAACTCTTCAGCCGGAGTAAAACATCTCGGCAGGAACATCGCAGTTGAGCAAATCATCAACTCTTCAGCCGGAGTAAATCATCTCTGCTGGACCCTCGGAGTTGAGCAAATCATCAACCCGTCAGCCGGAGTAAATCATCTCGGCTGGAACCTCGGAGTTGAGCAAATCATCAACCTTATTTCCGGAGTAAATCATCTCGGCTAGAACCTCGGAGTTGAGCAAATCATCAACTCATCAGCCGGAGTAAAACATCTCGACTGGAACCTCGGAGTTGAACAAATCATCAACTCGCCAGCCGGAGTAAAACATCTCGACTGGAACCTCGGAGTTGAACAAATCATCAACTCGCCAGCCGGAGTAAAACATCTCGACTGGAACCTCGGAGTTGAACAAATCATCAACTCGCCAGCCGGAGTAAAACATCTCGACTGGAACCTCGGAGTTGAACAAATCATCAACTCGCCAGCCGGAGTAAAACATCTCGACTGGAACCTCGGAGTTGAACAAATCATCAACTCGCCAGCCGGAGTAAAACATCTCGACTGGAACCTCGGAGTTGAACAAATCATCAACTCGCCAGCCGGAGTAAAACATCTCGACTGGAACCTCGGAGTTGAACAAATCATCAACTCGCCAGCCGGAGTAAAACATCTCGACTGGAACCTCGGAGTTGAACAAATCATCAACTCGCCAGCCGGAGTAAAACATCTCGACTGGAACCTCGGAGTTGAACAAATCATCAACTCGCCAGCCGGAGTAAAACATCTCGACTGGAACCTCGGAGTTGAACAAATCATCAACTCGCCAGCCGGAGTAAAACATCTCGACTGGAACCTCGGAGTTGAACAAATCATCAACTCGCCAGCCGGAGTAAAACATCTCGACTGGAACCTCGGAGTTGAACAAATCATCAACTCGCCAGCCGGAGTAAAACATCTCGACTGGAACCTCGGAGTTGAACAAATCATCAACTCGCCAGCCGGAGTAAAACATCTCGACTGGACCCTCGGAGTTGAGCAAATCATCAACTTTTCAGCCGGAGTAAATCATCTCGGCTGGAACCTCGGAGTTGA